CTTAGAAGGACCACAAATATTTTAAATTAGAGGGAGAGGCGCAAAAAGTTGTATTGCAGAAATTAAAAGAAAAGCAAAAGCAAAGATAATTCTTTCAAGCAGCAGTAAGACCTGGAAATAATGCCACTGACGCAACTTGTAAAGTAGCTTATATACTCAGGGAAAAAGGGAAGCCATTTACTGATGCAGAAATTGTGAAAGAATGCATTGTCAAAGTTGGAGGATGCTTAGACCCTTATAACATTTCAAAGTACCAACAACTGCCTCTTTCAAGGAGAACCATAACTAATTTGCAGTATGAATTAGCCTTCAATTTAACAGAACAACTTCATGCATACTTCAAAAGGAAAATATATATTATTCAACTGCTTTGGATGAATCAACTGATACTACTGACTTGGCACAGGTTTTATACTTCATTTGGGTCATAACAGAAGATTTTCTTTGCTACAAAGAATTACTTGCTTTGGGCATTCTTGTAAACAGAACACGGGGAATAGATATCTTCAACAACTTTCAAGATACACATCATGAAGTCGGACTGAATTTGGTGAATTTAGTGAGTGTATGTAGAGACAGTGCACCTTCCATGACAGGAAAACATGAAGGCATTACTGCACAGATTTAAAAAAAGTATTAACAGATTCAGATGCTCTCATTTCTTTTCATTGTATCTTGCATCAGCAAAATCTCTTGTGCTGAAGCTACTATTTTAAGTGACACTTTGCAACAAGTTGTAAGTATTGTTAACTATATTCCTGCAAATGCAACATGGCATCCTCAGTTTTGTAACATGCTAAAGTTGAACAATGAGGTATTCAGTGTGTATTTGCCAAATTATTTCAAAGTGCATTGGCTGTAACAGAGATAGGTATTACCCAAAATTTTACCTATTCGAGAACAGATAGTTAAATTTTATGAAGAACAGAATGAGCAATGTTAATTATTGAAATAAGATTTCTATATGAATGCAGCTTTTCTGTGTGATATAATGTCAAATCAAAATAACTTGAATATTTCTTTGCAAGGTAATGTGGCAAAAAATCCAAGTATTTCAAAAAAAGCTATCTTTTTTTCAAAACACATCTTCTTCGAAAGGAAATTTCAGGTGAACATTTTCCCCCTGTTAGCAAGGTCATTGATGAGCAGGATGATATATGTGAATCATTTGAAGAATATGCAGCTGTTATAGACTATTAATTGGAGAATACAATGAAAGTTTCACTGACTTTGAGAAACATGATATCGCACTCAAATTAGCATTTCAGCCTCACCTAGTCAACATCTCCCAGGCATCTGAAGAACTACAGATAGAATTGATTGAGCTCTCAATCATTGTTTGATGCTAAGAAAGATCCAATTGAAATATGGAAAAATGAAATAAAATACAGGTGCCTTTGGCAATATGCCCGAAAAATGCTTTCTTGCTTTTCAACCACTTATTGCTGCTAATCTACATTCTCCTACCTAACCCAAATCAAGACACCCTTAAGGTCACAAATGACTGATATGATCTAGAGGATCAACTGAAACTGTGGACCTCCAGGCTGCAACCAAACATTCAAATGCTTTCCAACAAAAAGCAGACACAACAAAGTCATTAAAAGCTTAGTTAACTTTAAAATTAACAAATAGTTTTCATGTTTTTGAAATTAATAATATGTAGTAGTTAGATTTTTACAAAATAATATACACTTTTAAGTATATCTATTTGAAATTTCTTGAATGTGGCCTTATTGGATTACAGCTAAATTAATGCAGACTTCTAACATGAAAAGTTTCCCCACCTCTGCCATTGGCAGTGTAAGCATAGAAATGATATAATTGATTTATAATTTAAATAATAACTGGATGATGTCAAGGGAGTGGAATTAGGCTGCCCCACTAGAAGGCTCTGCAGCAGTCTGAGTGGGAGATGATGAAGATTGAAACTGGTGCTATGGATTAGTGAAGATGAAAAATGGTCAAATTCAACTTATCCTTTGGAGGTAGACTTGATAGACTTGATAGACTTGTTCATGGGATTATTAGGATGTGAGGTAAACAAATCAAGGGTGAACTACAGGTTTTTAGCAAACAGTTGCTGAATGGTAGTGCCATTTAACAAGATGAAGAAGACTCAAGGAGCCTTGTAAGAGTTCTTTTCGGGTTTCAGTGAATGAGACAATAAGGAATGTATATCTACTGTAAAACAGACAGCTTGAATTACAAAGATGGAAATGTGGAAATGTGAGGGATGACTAAAGCTGGTCATGGAAAAGTTTGTTCCTACATGATAAACAAGTAGTTCTGCCAAAATGAAACCATATTCAAAGTGAAATCACGCTTTTAGGGCAAACAACACACTGTCATTCAAAATTGCATCTAGGATGCAGTGAAAATTCAGGAATGGAGGAGGACACGACGAAATGGTATCAGCAAAAAAAAAAAAAAGTACCAGATCAGATAGTAGTAAAAGGTACATCTTTTAGTGTGTCAGTCTAGCTCACAAGAAATGATTATCCTTTTCCCAGTACTTCCCTCTGATGGTACACACTCTGCTACGTGCACCAAAGGCAAACAAGAAACATTCAAAGCAATTATTTTGAAGATTACTCCATTGCGAAGTAATGTCTTGTGCGTAGAACAGTGTAGGGGGACAGGGTAGTAGCCTGAGAGGCACATGTCCCTCTCCCTTCACTGTCACATCCTCCACTCACTGTCTCACATGGCCTCAGTGCATAATGTGCTCCTGTCCCAGAAAGGAAAAAAAAAAAAGTCTGATAGACAACAGAATGTGATAGAGCTAGAAACATGAAAGTACATGAATCCAGTTGGGTAAATTACAAACATACACACACAGCATGCTGACTTGAGGATCTGTTACCTGTTATAACTATACGTACATACTAAATTTTTGGCACAACTCTTTTTAAGACTTTTTATTGGTTTCATATACATACTGAAAAGTACATATGTGTACTGAATTTTCACAAACTGAACTTATTTGTGCAATTAGCACCCAGGTCAAGAAACACAGCATTACACAATTGTTTTTGATTTTGGTACTTAGGTCTACTGTAAGTATATTTGCATAAATTTACAACATCTAATAAATATTCAAATGAATATATGAAGTTGCTTATCCTCTTTTCCCTCTTTTTTGAATATTGCTGTGACTTCTGTATGTTATCTCATTTATTCTTTTCCACAACCCTGTTAGGTTGACTGCTATGCATATTTCACAAGAGGAAAATGAGGCTCAAAAGTGTTAAGCGATGTGTGCAGGTTCATACATCTAGAAATTGAACCCAGCCTGTTTTACTCCCGAAGTACTCTTAACTGCTATACCAGCTGCCTGATTGATTTGGGTAAAGTGATAGTGGGTCATTGCCAGCAAGTTTACTTGACTAGATAATCTACAGTGTATAATAATAAGAAATTAGGTCTTAAAATGTGTATTTAAGGAAGGCATAAAATTGCCATTATTGAATTCAAAGGTGACAAAATAAAAATAGTGATTGCAACAGATGACTTTAGACATATATTTAAGAATAGGAATTGGAAACAACTAGAAGTGTTTTTTTTTTTTTTTTAAGTATGCTAGAAACAGCATAATGGAGAGCAGGATTAGGTTCATGGACATTTGAAGAAAGTTGCAACTGAATTTGGAAAGGTAGATGTGAGGGGAGAAGAAAATGGAAAAGTCGAAACTTATTCCCAAGGTTGCAAGCCTAGGAAACCAGAAATGGTAAATATATTGTGCATGATGAAAAATCTGGAATGTGTTGGCTATGTCGGATTAAGCAAGAAGATGAATTTGATATTCAATATTCTTATCATCAGGAGCTGTGTTATAGAGCAAAATTCTGTGGCATCCTCTCTAGGTTTTATTCATCCACATTTCAAACTTTTTATCCCCTATTGTAATAAAAAGACCAAAACACTTTTATAGGAAGGAGTAATTTTGAAGGAATGGGCTATAAAGGCTATTGAACTTGGTGTTGATTGCTCAGTAATGGATTTGGTTAGACCACAGACTAGCTATTTCTAGCAGCCCTATCCAAAGATTGTGAAGGTTGTTTTTCCTTTTCATCATTGGTATATAAGCTAGTTAGATATTAGGTTCAATCCATTCCTTCCTTCCTTCCTTCCTTCCTGTTTTTGCTGTTGGTAAAATTAATAGGACCTGTACGTGGGTCACTGCGGCTGATTTCTCAAGGTATTGAAAATGATTTTAGTTAGATAACTAACTCTGAATAACAGAATATATCTTAATTCTGGACATATTTTGTAGATTTGTCTCTAACTAATTCTGATAAATATCTTCCCTTGGGCCCTGTCCTGATTGCTCAGAGAATAATTTGTTCAGGCTTTATATTCAATAAATGAAGCACCAAAGTGTCCCAGCATGTATTAGACATCAAATATATGGTTACTACAATCCAAACAAGCTCCTCAAAATCATATACATTTATTGTAAATGTGTGCGCATTTGTTTGCACTATTAACAAAACTTGTGTTCCAGTTTAAAATATTACATTAATTTTTCCTTAAAAAATAAAATTGCTACATTTTTTTCCTTCTAATTCATTCATTTCTTATATTGAAAGCTAAATTAGTAATGTCTATGCTCCAAGCTCTATATGGATCACATTCAACCTTCCTCCACTTCCACACCAAATTAAAAAACAACAAAAGCAATAAAGAAACAAACTCAAGAAATAAGAAAGAAAGAGATAGGGAACAAAGAGATAAAGGTACCAAAGTCTGGTTTGGTTTCACAATAATGAAATACAAATTATTTAATAAACCGATAGCATTACACAGGAGAACTGCATTTTTCAGAATTTGAGTAATCAATAAAAAATATAAATTTATTCAACATATTTTCTAGTAAATATTTCATACCTTTTTGTTGAAATTTTATGGTTTATCCCATATACACATTTCTTAAATGATGACTCTGCAAAAGGAAAAGGTGACTAAGAGTTACACCATTGCTGTTGCTTCGTACTTACAGCGACCGCCTCCAGGATTTTGTTTAACAGCATCGGCAGCGTCTCGCTCACTGTAATATCCCTTTTCCACAATCCTAAAAAAAAAAAAAAAAAAAAAAGTACTTCTCAGACACATGTATTCAGTAGACTGGGTGTTAAAATAAGTTAATTAAATTAACGTTAAAGAAGGTGCATCTATAATAATATCAGGGCAAAGACTTCCATAAACTGGCACTCTAAAAATCTTCGAGTTTACTTAGGAAAATGAAATACATTTATTTTGCCTTGGCTTGAAATGTCCATCCCATTTGAGGAAAAAATAGTCATTCCTGTTTAAACTTTGTATTGTGAATCATTTTAAACGTATACCAAATAGACATTACACAATGAAACACTCCCATGTGACTATCGCACAGCTTCAACAATTATTAATCATGGCCAATCTTGTTTAATCTATCTCCTTAACTACTTCCTCTCCTCCTTTATTATTTTGAAGTAAATAGCAGACATTATATAATTTCATTTCTAAACATTTAATGAAGTATCTCTAAAAGATAAGAGATCTTTTAATCATAACCATAATGTCGATATCATAACTATATATTACAATAATTCCTTAATATTATCAAAATGCAGTGTGCCAAATTTCCAATTGTCTTAGACATGTTAAATTTTTTTTGTTTGTTTGAATCAGTATCCAAATAAGGTTCATGAAAATTCATTGGTTAATATGTCTCTTATTCTCTTTTAATCTGCAGGTTAGTTCTCTTTCCCTCCCCCGCTACTCCCCCCCGCCCCCCGCCACACACAACTTTCTCATTTTTGCAATTTTTTTTTTGAAAGTTGGTCACTTTTTCTTTAGTGTTTCCCACAGCTCGACAATGTGATTCTATCACCATGGTGTCTTTGAAGTCATTTCTCCGCCCTCTCTATTTCTTATTAATGGGTAGTTAGAGCTAGGTTCTTAATCAGATTCAGGTTGATTTTTTAGCAAATACACTTTATAGCTGGTATTGTGGATTTTCATGCTCAATCCTTCTCCATTTTGTGTTGTTTACAGCAATTGATAATCGATGTGTAGATCTATGAGCTCATTAGAGGTTTCAAATGGGTAAAATCTAATTCTATTAATATTATTGCTTTTCTTTTATTAGCTGAAAATTTTCTAGTGTCACAATTTTTATAGGAAAGATAGGATAAATTCTTAATTTTTTTAACTTCCTAGTTTTCTAAATATGTGTTGGTTTATCAACATCTTCAAACAGTGACCAATTAGTGTTTTTGTTTGCTTTTTGGTATCATTTAGAAATTATAGGTTTAACCACATTTGATATGCTTCAATTCACTCCAGCTCTTTTTCTTATTGATGTAGAAATTGTCCTTGGGTCAGTGGTGGGCTATTCAAATTGGCTTTTGAAGTCTTTGGTGGCTCCTTTTTTATCTGGTAAAATACAGTACTTCAGGCTTATTTTGTACACTTGGGGCTCCTGACCTGGAATAGCCATTTCTCCAAGG